GCCTGTGTGGACCAAATGTATACATTATACAACTTTCACTTTTTGAATGGAATTGGTGAAATAAATCAACTTTTTGATGATATTCTAATTTTACGACCAGCCCCTGTAGAAAGCTGGTGTTTCAAAATCAGCATTTTTCCTAAAAGACAAACATGCAAAATTTAAATATGAAAATAATTCGGACATCATTGCAGATGACTTGATTTGTAAATGTAACATTTTGGGAAACAGACAATTCCACCATGCAAGACAAAGGAAACATCTTAGCTGCACTGTTTCAACGCCAAATCCTGCATTTTATTTTGTAATAAGTAAAAAAAAAAAAAAAGATTCACAGTATCTCTCCCAAAACAGTTAACTGCAAGTTTTTTAATTTTAAGAAAGCATGTCTGCAATAGAAATCAAACACACTGATTCCAAATGTTTCATGTATTTGAACAAAAAGAAACATGAGTCACAACAAACAGATCACAATACTTTCCAGACTTTAAATACATTTAGAGATCATCGTTTAAATAAATTCTCCAAAAAATATCTCTTGTCCATGTCACATATTTACACTGATCTTAGCTTCTAGTGATTGTATATCCATGTTACTAATTCAGGACTTTAGTATTCTTGCTCCCATGAATTGCTTTTGCACACCTGAAAACCTTTCCCCATTAACATGTGAAAGATTGACCTCATGCTTAAATAAGCAGCCTCACAGCTCTTTAAGTTAGGCAATTTCAATTTTACATATTGGTGTCAATACGTAACAAACACAACTGTCACAGTAACAGATTATGACTTTGTAGGTCTCTTGTGAGTTTTATCACAAAGACAGCATTTGTCTTATAAATCCTGCTTCTAATTGACACCATGACTGAGACACTGGTCTGTGCATGTTTACTTTTCCCGATGTAGCACAGAGATCATCCTTTCTCAGTGCTCGTGTGCAATGAGTGGGGCAGGATATTTGTATTTGCTGAATAAAATACAGACAACACAAAGACATGACAACAGCAGAGAACTCAAAGGTGGTTACGCTGCCAAGTCATCAAATATCTTAATGAAACCTGGTTCTACCAGACACACGATGTCTGGATCTAGCCATGATTAACAGTTATTGTGACTTATGCTGGAATGACAGGATGTTGTCACTAGAACAGATTGATTAAACCAGTAATATGAATATCACATTTGAAACAAACATCAACACGGACTTTCAACACAGCGCTTCCCACTCCACGCTCAATAACTACATATGGCACAGAAACGGAGAGCCCACTTTTTAAGTGACAGAGTTTCGAGCGTTAACCTCGGTTGCAAAACTCTATATGCTGGGTATATTGTTGTGTCATAATAAAGTCAAAATATGTCTGCATAGTCTATTGTTGTACTAAATGTAATGCCATTTTAAAAAGATATTCTTGCTGCTTTTGTCACAGCATCCAGTAGAAGCTTGAAACCTTTCAATTTATTTTAAAATCAACCTCAATCTGGTTGGACAAGCAAACCAAAAACTAGCTGGTATGAAAGTTTGTTTAATTGTTTGGAATAATTCACAACTTGTTTTCATGTTTGTATAGTAGTATTCTACACTGTGCTGTTAGATATAACACAGAATCCATATTTCCCGGCCACCTAAAGCTCCATATTTTTTCTTACTCCTTTCCTTCCAAAGCAGAAGGACACTCTCAAAGAGCCATCGATGTGAGGAATACAGCTGAGACATGCCTGTTGTAAGTAGTGATTCAGAAATGTAAATGCAGTGCCTTTTGGATTCAGGCTCAGGTGTTGTGCAGTAAAACAAATCAGGGAGCGCACTGGAGAATTTGTTGTTTGCTTTTTTAACAATTATAATTAGCATTCATAACATTTTTGAAATCATTATTCTAATTTTGAAATCATAATCATGATCATTGAAGCACTTTGTTTTAAACAAGGTTTAATGATAAACAAAATGACAATCAATACACTGAGTATACCCATGGAGAATATCATCATGCACATTTACAGAAAGAAAATAAAGAGTAAAAATCCTAAGTGCAGGAAGAATGTTTTCTGCAGTCAAATGAGGTTTCTCTTTTCTACAAAACCACAAAAAACTAAATGAAAAAACAAACTTGAGGTGGATCCATTTCCATTCTTGGGCAACTTTTCTTATTGTAAAAAGGTTGAATAATGTTTTAATGCACTGAGAACTAGGTGAAGAAAATGCCCTGTGAACAAGTTCACAACTGGTTTCTGTACCTTTCCTTTCAGATGAGGATGATTGCATAGTCTCTTAAGAGATTTGTCATCTCTCCTATTCTTGTGTTATTGCTTCACACACTGTCAAACTTGTGTTTTAAATAGTCTTTCATAACCTTTGCAAGTGGTAGATCCTCCAAGAATTTCAAGCTTTGAAGGCCAATACAGTGACGGATTTTTATTCGACACAAATCTTGTAGAGTCCGAGGTTGTCCTGAAAGAAGAAGAGAAACAATGACTACACATGAAGGAGCTCGTTGACGCCTAGTAACAGGACAAAAACAGAGCAAACTCTGAGCAAAATGATTAGCAAGAGTAGATGTCTCGTTATTTAATAATCAATACAGTGACAGTGCTCACATGCCCCCATTAGTGCAACACTTCAAGTTTTAATTCTACTTTATCTCACATCATATCACAGCAGTGTTTGCATCCTACTGCACTCCAAACATAAAATGTGAAACAATGAAATTGAGAGGAACGTTAGATAATCAATCAGGGTGAAGGTGCACATAACATAATATTAATAATATTATCAAATTTTCTTTTTCTGGAAATCACTACCCTCTGCAAAAAAAAAATACCCATCACACACACGGTCAAAACAGCCGACTGAGATTCAAACAAAGGGTTAGAATAGGGAAGAAAGGTCATTCAAATAACTCTGAATATGGCATGGTTTTTCAGATATGCTGGAATCTGCCACACAACCATCTCTCAGAATGGCCTAAAAAAGAGAAGCTAGCAGTTCTCGGTGTGAAAATAGCTTGTTGGTGTTGGATAGGGCTGTGCGATATGACCAAACTTGAATGCACATAAAAACAGCTGCTTGTTTAAGTGAAAATACATTGATGGGTTTTGTTTTGTTTTTGCACTAATAAAGTTGTGGAGTTGTAAAGTATTTTGTTTCGTGTCAGTTATATCGTTATCGCAAATTTTCAAATGTATAACATGATAGGGCTGTGCGATATGACCAAAATCTCATACCCCGATATAATTCATCTATCGTCCGATAA